TACTCTTGGGATAGAATATGGAGAAACAGAATGGTTTCCTAAAGGCAAGGATGTCAGATATTAGAGTAGGTTATCTCCATATATGCTCAATCCATACACAGAACATACCATAAGGAAAACTGGATTAGGATCAGAGAAAAAACAAGTGAAAATTAGTGGAATATAGGTCAATAATTTAAGGTATATAGAAGATATACTACACTTTGAAGACAAAGTTCCTCAAATTAGTCATGAATTGGATACCTCAGTTAATGCAGATCCACTACAGAGCACTGTCTGGTCCAGTTTTTTGGGATGAACTTCAGTTATTGAGGCCCGAGAATGTGGACAATGTGCTTGGCCAAGTCTGGCCCACCACCTATATGCTTGACCCTTGCCTGCCATGGCTCATTATTAGAATAAAGGAAGGGGTTTGTACTTGAGTCCAGGAGGCTATAAATGCTTGAGAGAAGGAATGGTGCCAGCCTCCTTAAAAGAGACTGTAATTAAACCACTCCTGAAAAAGCCTATCCTGAACCCAGAAGATGTCAACAACTATAGGCCTGTGGCTAACATTCCCTTCCAGGCCAAGGTGCTTGAGTGGGTGGTAGCTCAACAGCTTCAAGCACTCTTGAATGAATATGATTACCCAAATCCATTTCAACCAGGCTTCAGGCCTGGTTTCAGAATGGAAACTACTTTGGTTGCCCCATGGGGTGACCTTTGCTAGGAGAAAGACAGGGGAGTGAAACCCTGTTGAATCTCCTGGACCTTTCAGTGGCTTGCAATACCATCAACCATAGTATCCTTCTGAAGAGGCTGGCTAGATTAGAAGGTTCTCCATTACAGTAGTTCTGCTCCTATTTGATTGGCCAATTCCAGAAGGTGGTACTTGAAGATTGTTTTGCACCATGGCAGTTATGTCATGGTGTTCCACAGGGCTATATTTTAGCTACTATGCTATTTAACATCTACATAAAACCCCTGGGGTATGGGCTGAGGTGTCATCAATATGCAGAGGTACTCCTCTACCTCTCTTTCACCAAACCCAGCTGAGGCAGTGGCTACTCTAAATCCATGTCTGGGCATGGTAATGGATGGGATGAGGGCGAGTAAACAGACTCAATCCAAACAAGATGTTGGTAAAAGGATCATCTGTCCAGTTGGGTGATATTCAACCTGTTCTGCATGGGTTTGCACTTCCCTTAAAGGACAAGGGTCAAAGTTTGGGAGTGTTCCTGGATCCAGACCTGTCACTTGAGTCTTTTATATTATTTATTTTATATTGCTAATTTTATATTATTATTTTGTATTTTATTGTATTTTATTTTGTGTTGTGAGCCGCTCCGAGGCTTCGGCAAGGGACGGCATAGAAATGTTTTAATAAACAAACAAATAAATAAATGTGAATGTTGTGGCTGAGAGCACCTTTTATCAGCTTAGGCTGACATATCAACTATGACAGACAGATAAACCCTGGCTACAGTAATCCATGGTCTGGTAACCTCATTTGGACTACTGTAATGCACTGTATCTGGGTCTTCCTTTGAAAGCAGTCCAGACTTTAACTGATCTAAAACAGGGTGTCAAGGTTGTTTATGGGGACTGACTCATGAGAACATATTATACCAGTCCTCTTTCAGCTGCACTGGTTCCCAAGATGAACTTTGGGCCTGATTCAAAGAGCTAGTATTAACATTTAAAGCCCTAAATGGCTTAGTGTTAGGAAAACCTCATTCCTTATCAACATACCTGGACCCTAAGTTCATCTTCTAGGGTCCTTCTCCAAGAGCACCCTCCAAAGGAAGTAAAGAGGGTGGCTACCAGGAGAAGGGGGCTTTCCAGTTGTGACACCCTGCTTATGAAATGAGCTCCCAAAAGAGGTGTACCTGGCACCTACTCTTTTGGCACCAGGTGAAAATCTTTTTATTTTTTCAATATTTTAACAGCTTTTAAATCTTAGTTTTAATACTGCATTTTATTCTGTACTGTTGCTATTTGATTGCACTGATTCAATGGTAACTGCTATTATGGCTTTTATAGACCATTCATCTATTGGCGTCTCAGGAAGGTTTGCAACAAAGCAACAGTTGTTCATATGTTGTCCCTGCCTTTTTGTTTTATATGGTTTTAACTTTTGTTAATGGCCCAGAGAGCCAAATATACAGATGACAGAAAGCAGCAATGAATTGGACAACTCTTGATGAAAGTGAAAGAAGAAAGTGCAAAAGCAGAATTGCATCTGAACATTAAAAAAACACAAATCATCACTACAGAATTTATTAAGAACTTTACTGTCAACAATAAAGAAACTGAAATTATGAAAGATCTTGCATACCTTGGCTCAATCATCGATTCAAATGGAAACTGCAGCCAAAAATTATAAGACTGAGCCTTGGAATGGCACCAGTGAAGGAAGTATAAGACATTTAGTTGCAGACTAAGGCCAAAACTGGCCGTACTGCATTTCCAATCTGTATGTATGTGTGTGAAAACTGGACAGTGAAGACAGCTGGCAGGATGAAATGCATGTGTTTGAAACATTGTGCTGGAGGAGAACTTTGTGAATATCATGGACTTAGAGAAAGATGAACAAGTGCTCCTAGATCAAATCAAACCAGAACTTGCCCTGGAATTGATGTTAGAATTTCAGATTGTCATAAGAAGGCAAGAATTACTGGAGGAGACAGTTATGTTAGGGAAAGTCAAAGGCAAAAGAAGAGGAAGACCAACTATCAGATGGAATGATCCCATGAAGGCAGCCACAGCCTTGAGTTTACAAGAGCTGAACAAGACTGTCAGACAGGGTATTTTGCAGGATTTTCATTCATAGGGTCACCTTAAGTCAGCATGTAGCAACAAGGCTTGCCTTCTCCACGAATGCGAGATGAACAATAGCATCCATCATGCATTTGTATTAAAATGTGCAAGACATGAGGAAGATAGACATTAAACAGGGAGCCATGAAAATCCCTGTCACGTCCACTAATAATTTTGTTTGAGGATGAAGGAAATGAAGTCTTAATCTGAGTATCAATACTGATAAAAGATAGAATTCAGAACCCTTTAGACCACCTAAGGTTTTTTTTTAGCACTTCTGGAAATAGGCTGAGGCTTGGAATCTGCCAAGTTTCAGAAGGAATTCAATCCTATCAAATGGCTCCATTTGTGAAGGGTTGTTTATGCTATGTGCCAGTGTGGAGATGTACATATAAGCTTGCCCTGATGTGGTATTTTCCAGCTGTGAAGGAATACAGCGCCCACAGGCCATGATCTTGCCCGTGTGTGCTGGACCAATGGGAGTTGTAGTGCACACAGCTGGTGGGCAGTAGGTTAAGGAAGACTGTATTAGATGGTCTCCTCCAGTTTAATGAAGTTGTTGACAGAATTCACTATTGGATAATAGACTTAAGAAAAGGCAGGAGTAGGATGTACAGCTGATAAGAGTGTGCCTTCTTTGTCGATAGCCCCTCACATCTACATTTCATCATACAATGAGGAACTTACCTCAAACTGGCTTCTACTCCTAATGTAGTAAGTTAACTGAAGGAAAATGGATTTCTCTGTTAATAAGTCATGACCAAGATTCACCTAAATAGCTTAAATCCTTCTTCAGTCTTGCATTTTTAATATATCTATGCAAGAAACTGAAACTGCACTCATTTTTAAAGAAAAGGTGCCCATGTCTGTACAGAATTAAGAAATCCACCTGTCATAATCCATATTTTAGGCACTGTTTTATGTAATTTAGGTTGTAGTCCTGTGCTGACATGCTGGGAATTGTACAGTGTTCTTCTGTCTGAACATGCACAGAATTACTTGATTATGGGCAGAGCAATCCCACATATCATGAAGTGGGAAACTGGAAGCATCTGTTTCTCTCAACAATTATCTCCATATGTTGTTTTACCACTGTAAAGACAAATGTCTGCATACCTGATGTAACCCCAAATAAAAGGTGTCATTATTGGAGCGTGGCTCTACATGCTCTTTTTTCAGTGTGGAGAACTGCTAGGATTCACTGCCTTTATCCTGGGTGATTCAGAGAGGTTGCAGAATGCCTGTGCTGACAGGTTTCATTACACTCAGATGGGGGGGGGGGGCAGGCAGTTAGAAAAAGAAAAAAAGAACCAAAGGCTGGAATGTGGGACTGTTGTAAGGAGGGGAACAGAACAAGCCAGAAAGCATCAAGAATGAGCCAGAAAGGAAAGAAAGGGCCAGAGAAAAAGAATCACAAAGTGGAGGTAACTGGAATGAGATGAGACACAGAACAGGAAGGCTAAAAAGAGAACTTTTATTCCTGGAAGATAGACGAAGGAAACCAATGAGAAGCTACACAGGGAAGTCTCCTGGAAGAGAAAGCTACCCAGACAGGTGATACTGTATCCATTTGGGGAGAATCAGAGGTATTGTTCCCTGGCCAGTTGAGTCAAGGATAGACAGTGGTTAAGTGGGAACAGACATTTTGCTAGTTGAAGAGCAGCAGGAGCTGGAAATAAATGCCTATGGGTTGGCCAGAGGGACTATGCCTGAGAAGGAATTGTTCACACTTATTCTAGTCCAAAGGGGTTCTGTGCCTTCCAACAAATTATGAAGGGGAGCAAGGCTGACCTGTACAATGAACCAGTGCAGTAAAAAACAAACAAAAATGTAAAAGCACTCTGGGCCCCTCTAGTTTATGGAAGTCATGGATCAAACCCAATTTCAGTCATAGTTAGTGAATTCTATCATCTGCAATCTTTTCAGAAGGTCCTCTGCTAGTGCTAAAAATAGTTTTATGATGAGCAGGTAAAATTGTATTTCTTCTTTATTTAATCCATATAATACACCATTTTTAGAATTTAAAAACTAGATAAAAGAGCATATTAAATGGCAGGTGTATGAAGTTTTCTTCATAAACAATGTTTGAACAAAAATCTGAATTACAAAATATTAAAAAATATGTCGGTACATTTGAACATAGCATTCCACTAAAGCATAAAGATACATATATTGTAAAAAGAAAAATTGTGCCACTTACCTACTGTTTTTGCTGTTTCTAGGAACTTTTTATTCTGTACATAGGACCATTCTGTACAAAATATGAAGTCTACATTTTTATTACTCATTACAATAAAACAAAGTACAATGTATGTACAATATTAAAATGAAGCCATACTAAAGCCACACGAAAAAAAGACACTTGTAATATTTTTTTGACATTCCTGATATACAGGCATAGAATTCTGGAGAACATGGGAAGGTTGCTAACACTGAACTTTATGAAGAACAACAGTCACCAAAACAATTTTATTTGCACATTTTTATTTTGGATGTATTAGTTCTTAGAATAATTTAATACAGAATTTATACAAAGCATAAAAATGGTGATAACAAATGAGCCATAGAATTAGTGCTGCTAAATTTTAGAATATTGCTTAGGCAAGTTTGTCAACTGGCCCAAAATCTCAAGAGCAAATTGCCATGGCATAATTCCTTTATCTATCCAAGAGTATTTGCTTTTTGGTGAATGTTTATCTTCAGTAAAGAGCAAAAATAAAATCTAGACAGTGAAAGATCTTATACATTGAGCGTTACACAGTCAACCAAACATTGATATACAATATTTTCCCATTCCCCCCACAGGATAAAATTCAAGTGCTTCATTCCAGAAGCCTCTTTCATGAACCTACTGAATGGCCAAATTATAAAAAAGGTATTCGATAAGTTATCAGCTAAAGATGGAAGTTCAAACAATGGTATATCAAAATACATAGAGACATTACTTTATGTTAGTATAAAAGCACCCTTTCCCCCCTCAAAATGGAGAAAAACATTTTGAACTGCTTTAGTTATAGTTTTGTCATTATGGCAAAGCATATCCATTTTCAAGTTTAACAGGAATTATTTTTACACAGAATGGGTATTTCATTTAAAGCTCGGAGTGGTCTTTAGATTTAACTTTGTCTTAGCAGTAATTTCCATCACACCTGATCTAATTTTCTTTCCATAGGTTGGACATTTTATTTTGAGACCAGATAGCAGGCACTACTATATCTGCACAAGGTTACTAAAATGCCTGTTTTGCACAATAATTTTTATAGATTCAAGATACCTTATTTCCTTAAAAAAAACTATTTTAAAGAAGCTGCGTGAAACTTTTCTGCATCAAAACATTAAACATTGTCATGTTACTGGCAGAGACAAAAGAAACAAGTCACTTATTGTAAATTAAACAGCTCTTGAGCAGGTTATAAGTGTCTAAAATACTGGCCACCCTGAGAGAAATCAAATATTGAAGACAAAGCACTATATATATATATGGATATATATATATGAAAATGCATTCATGTGTTCCCAACTAGAACAATGAAAAAAGATCTCATAACATGCAAGTAATCTTGTGGAATATATAGCAGCATTTGAAGATCAACAGCAACTCAGATGAATTTTTACTTTTCTCGTGAGGTGTGTATGTATTATATGGACTCTTCACCACAGATAAAAGTATTGAACAGCAGAATTACTAAAACTCATTTCTCAGCTCCTACTTAAGATAGGCATTTGAAAAAATGTGTAAAGCCTTTGTAAAAACTTTTGTCTTATTAAAAATAATCTAAAAAGTTACTGATGATGAACTCCAGAGAAGTGTATTCAGCTAAGCTGGTTGCATGATGTCTGTAATAAGTATTCTTAAGAGCCGAAAGTATATCATGTAGTAGAAGCTCATAAGGAAATAAACAGTGAAGCATTTGGGTAAATTAACAAAAAAAAATTGAAAAATGAAAGAGGTATCCAATGAATTTTTAAAATTTATTTCTAGGCAATGCAGATAGCTCAGTTCCAAAATAGTTATTTTGTATTATATGCTAAAGGACTGGAAAATATGGCTTCAATCCATAAAAAGTATTCAGACAAGGGTGCCTTTCTCTGGAACAGTTTTCAGAGCTTCTCAAAATTAGTCGTGATTGAAGATTGTCATGAAAATTACCATTCTGTAAGCTGCACTGAGAAATCAATTTAACTATATGTTTCCAACCTGCCAGAATGTGCCTAGGGTTGTTTTTGTAGGGTTGTTTTTCGTCAAACATTTTCTGTCATTTAAAAATGCCTAATAGCGATATATAAATTTAGAATTTAGACCATTGCTACAGTACCAACTTGAGATGGAGGACAGAAAGAAAGTGGGCCTAACAGTCTGCCAAACACCGCTGTAGTGCAACTTCTAGTCATTTCAATGGGGCTTGCAAAGCAAAAACCAATGCAAGTCCACTTTATAGGGTACACGTTACCCAGAAATCTGTCCTATATAGGAAAAACTTGAAACTCCTGTGTAGCTTGTCATTATATGACATTCACACATGTGTTTTTTTTTGGGGGGGGGATACACATGTGCATGATATACAAGAACTAGAAGCTGCAGTTTAACTGTAGCTTCCTAGCATATATATATATATAGCAAACATGATGACTAATATTATGGTTTCATGCTTTCCCCCATACAGAACTGCTTTCTGTGTATACACAAAAAGTGATGTGTTAGGTAGCCTGAAAAGATTCTGGAAGTTGCACAGCAGATGTGCTTCCAAAAGACTGCTCCTCTCTCTGTAGTAATATGAAAAATCGTAGATTTCTGATTGATTGGTACTATGACAACAGCATCAAGAAAATACCTTAGTTTAACTCTAACCAACCCAAGTTTCTGCATATAGAATCAGGTAATCTACCATTGTTTGAACTAATAATCTTGAGCTGCACACACTGTATCAAAATTATTGCCTAACAGAACAGGGTTGAAAAAAGCTTTGACATGTGTAACTGATCAGTATGGCACAAAAAGTAAGTTCTCTACTGTGGAACAGAGTCCAGAAAAAAGGGTTTTCTTGCAAATAAGATTTCAGTTGAATTGTCTAATGCCCATCATGTGTTATTAGATCATCAGCTCGGCAATGGGACTCCAAGGCTTTCATGGTATAGATATCCTGAGGCAGTTCAGACTTGCGCCGCATCACAGGACGCTCCTTTTTCTGTTCCTTCGGTGCCTGAAAACAAAATGCAATAACGCTGTTTTTAAATTTCAATTATTTTTAATTAAGAGCTGGCTTGTTTTCTTTTTAAGAAGAGCAAAAAAGAAGTATCAGAACATTTATCCCAGTAATACACCAAAATCAAATGGCTACTGCTGTAATGACCTGCGTGACAGTATATTACCCATACAGGGAATCCTTCTCAAATTAATTTTTGCCTCTTCTTGGTTCTCCAGGAAGTCACCATCCAAAGTTTAACAGTTGGTGCATGTCTTATAATTAAAAGGCATACTTTGCATGTTGCCTAGGCTAACGGCCATTCCTCCTGGTGAGCAGTCATGTAGCAAACTGTATCTAGCCCCTTCCTGCCACCGAGGATACCTATTCAAACTGCACTGCTGCCACCAAAACAGCCTCTTCCTAGCAATCAGCTCCCACAAGTTCAGAGACACAGCGCAGCATCACGATGGCTGGTTTTGCATCACTCTTCCAATCATGCCAATAAGGGAAAGGAGAGTGTGAATTACCACATATGCACTTGAAGTGATTTTGTATTTTCCTAAATGCGGGACACACCTATTCTATGTTCGCCTGGCTCCTGTTGCCAGCTGGTCAGAAGCCAGAGAGAGAACAACTTAGATAGCCTTTTGCTGTGTTTTCCTTCCAGGGCTATGAAAGTTTTCAGTCTGACTTTTAATATTAAGACAGGCTTTATAAAATCATATAGTGGTGGTGGGAAGGATGGAATGCATCTGCGATAGCAGGCAAGGGCAGAAAGTGGAAAGATGGAAAACTAAATGAGCAATTGATCCCTCTGTAATTTTTGGCACTCTGAGGGTACAGTCCTATGCATGTTTAGACAGAAAAAAGTTCCACAGCATCCACTATTTAATAATTAAAGTGTATTTCTAGCCCCAGACATGACACCTGTGAAAAGTAAGACATGTTAATATATACAATATAAGCATGACTTGTGTTAGTCTAGGACTGTAAGATCCAGACCGAGGAGGCAAGGGAGAAAAGACAACAAGTGATCCTTTTCTATTTACTTAAAGGATGTGTGTATGGCTAGGAATACTGTTTCACTCATGTAATAAAGCTACCCTAATTTCCACTTGAAAGGAAGCCCCTACCCAAATTTGTTGCACAATGCTTTGCATCATATTTAAATATGCAACATTAGTTGGTAATATTCAATGCCAATCATATGTAGAATAGTCTGACTGAAGTAATTGGGATTTAAGGATAGCTACTTCTGCTCTGCTGTCCCTTGGTGCACAGGAAGCTGCCTTATACTAAGTCAGAACAGTGGTCTATTTGGCTCAGTATTGTCAGCACTGATGAGCAGCAGCTCTCTGGGTTTTGAGGCTGGAGTCTTTCTTGGCCCCATCTGGAGATGTGGGAGACTGAGTCTGTGATTTTCTGCATATAAAGCAGGTGCTCTCCTACTGAACTACAGTCCCCAAGAGAGTGGGCCCAGCCCTAGTGGAGTCTGTAGGCTTTGCTCATCTGACATCAGGGAAGGTAAGTCTGGGCAGCTGATGTTCAGGTTTGATGAGGAGATCTAAAAATGTGAATCTCAATTAGTGACTTGGGATTAAGCAGTCTTTTTTTGTATGTAGTCTTTCAAACACCACTTTGCTGGCTTCAAATCATTCTAACAGTTATGAAGCCATTTGACACAGACAAGAAAAAAACCTCACTGCTTACATATGCTTAGGACCATGTTAACTGCTACTAAAACCATTTTACTGACAACCATAGGAAACTTCAGCTTGGAAATTACTAAAATTATTCTGCTCGTTTCAAATTTGTTGCAGTTTAAAGAGGAAAAGTAGAACAGTTAACTAAAACGAGTAAAGATGTCTGAATCAAGTTTGGAACGAGTAGGCTAATTTTTCTTCCTATGTGCTTACCGGACAAGCTTCTTCTTTCACTGTCTTTCTCAGCACCTGCAAGTCTTCAATTAAAGGCCCATCTGTTTCCATTGCAACAGGACTGCTCACCAGACAGGTGTCACTATATATTGAGTACTAACCAAATGCAAAATGTTTATGTCAGCATTTTAAAAGTAAAACTCAAGATTAGATAACTACAGATATTCAGGAATCTCACTGCTAGAAATGTTCACTTCCAACTTGAACTATAATGTACATATTTGATGCACTAAGCATTTCAGCTTCAAAATAGAAAAGTTTTCGTTTGAGTTTCTTAAATATAAGAATTCTCTTACTGAAATCTAAAAATTATGTCCTATACAAATTATGAAGTTTGTAAAACTATGACTCTAGAGATTCATTTGGTCAGAAAACATTAATCTTGTTAATTGGGGGAACAGGGTATGAAAGATCTTTGTAAAATTATACATGATGGTCCCCCCACATTTGGCTAACAGGGCAATCAGAACAGTCAAGGTCTTAATTGAAAAAAACAGGCTTTATACTGAAAACTCTTGCCAGAATTCTTCTGACATCTTAATAACATGATCTCATAGAATACATAGAGTATCTTTCCAAAACAAACAAAATTAATAGAATAAGTAACACTCAAAATATTTTTTGCTTTATTTATTAAAATGTCACCTGGAGATCAGGAAACTGGTTGCAATTCAACAAAATAAAAATAACTATTAATCCTTGCAAGTGGCAAGACTATGCTACAAATTTAAATTCATTTTCAAATGTGTTTAAGAGTCAGGCTCCCACCTGAACAATTTGGGGACTTATGAGATGGTATCCTATGAAACGTCTCCTACTGAAAGAATGATTTCCTTTGTTCTTCCCCTTTCAGTCTCCCCTACACCCTTAAGATCAGCTCCATAAAGTTTATTTGATGATTATATTTATATCTTGCTTTTATCCTTTCAAGGAACTCAAGGTGGCTTACATAAATCTCAGCTTGGAAACCTTCCAGAGAAAATGGGCAGTGGGGAGAAAAGTGCCACTGTATGAACAGAGATCTGCTTGTCAATATCTGATTTCACCATTAGTCCTTTTTAAAAATCAAAACACCTCCACCAAAATGTTCAGCAACTTTCAATTAAACCAGTATCAAAACTTGTATACATTCTACAGTTTATATGACAAAAGAGAATCTGTAATTCGCTGGGCATAAATATAGATTGTATTTTTACTAGGTTGTACATTTTTAATACTTCTGCTTTAAGGAGATATGGGTAATACTAAATTTTCCTGTGGCAAAATTACCTGGTTCACAAGACACAACTGTATGACTCATGCTGGCATTTTTGCATGGCACCTCTGGGTACCTGTGTTGTCATGTCATGTGAACCCATGCTGCAGGGCTTCTCTGCAGTTTAGCCAACCCTCAATGTTTAAAAATGTTCTTTTGCAGACTGCATGTTGTCTGCAACTGCTTGGATCCAGCTGCTCTGCTTGGATCCAGAGCAGCTGCTTTGTTCATAGGAGGCCTGCTTCTATATACAGAAGTGTGGATGACCCAGTGGAAGCTGCAATGTATAGAAAAACAGAGGGAGACCATTTTTGTTGATTCTCCCTCCCCTCCCCGGCCCCAGCCTTCTGAGCATCCCCTACACATGTAATTTCAGAAAGTCTTCCAACCTTCAGAAGGTGCAATAGGTTGAAAGAGGGAATCAGCAAAAAAAAAAAAAAAGTCTCCTTTATTCCTCACAAGTAAACATAATTTCTCTTGAAGGATCTGTGTTTACTTGCTAAAATCAATTAGGTAATTTACTCTTGCTCAACTCTCTGGATTGCAACCATCACCCTGACGTGCATGACATGCCAGATCCTATCCACAGGAAGTGCTGGGTCAGGTCAGTACTATTTTTCCATAGTTCCCGCAACCATCCAGTTTGCTATGGCTTGTCATGTCATGCAAACCTAAGTAGCAGGGATTTGTTTGATGGTTGAATAAACCTCAAATAACCCGCAGGTTATTTAGGATTAAAGGACTTTTGCTGATTTATGGTATCAGTTGAACTGTGAATGTACATCTAAGGCTACTCCAAGAAGACTCATGGTTTCCAACTGTGGGTGAAGTAACAGCCAGGAAACAATTCAACCTGTCTTTGTAGCATTTGAAATGTTAAGATGGACATTTTGCAAGGTCCCAGAACATTCACATAAATGGTAGACTGCTTGGCATATTTGTTCTCCATTATGATGCAAACCATTTCACCATGTAATTTTTTTAAACAGGCAGACTGTCATGTGTTATTTATCACCATATAAATAAAATACTCATTGGAATCCACCAAAATCCATGTAGTCACTTTCTTTACCTTGTTTTATAAATTTAAGAAGAGACATATTACATCTGTGGACACATTTACTCTTCCAGAAATATGCAATAAAAAGTTGACATACTCAGCCTCTGAAAATTTTCTAGATACCTGGGGGTTTGATTTGGCTAGATTTTCTATTTTAACCCATGCTTCTTCCCGTTCCTTCATTTTTAGTTTCTCCCTAGGAGGGAAAAGAAACCATACATACATCACAGATAAAGCTCACATAAGTTTAAAAAAATAAATTACCACCAATGTTTTTGAAGCTCCAGAAAGCATGTTTTTTTAATTACTCATTTAAACTTTAATATAGATTCTAAATAGAACATATGCTTCCTTTACTATGAGGATAACAATAGGCATTAGAAGTTAGAAATAGGGAAGAATTCTGGAAAGAGGGGGAGGAAAATCATTACAAGCCAAACACAAATTTTTGCCTTGGCTTGGCAGGATCTCTCCTTCACTTTTTTTCATTAGCTTAACCAAGTAGCAGTTGGTTAAGTGGTAGACCCATGGGTTAACTTGAGGTTATTTAAAACTGCTTGAAAGAAGAGAAACTTCCTCCTCCCCACCATCAAGGACTCCTGAGGCAAAATGATTCTTGACAGTTGAGTGAGCTTCTCCCTCCCTCTAGCCCCGCCCCTCTTTGGCAGGCAACCCTTTCACCCACTTCTTCAACAGAAGGGGAAAGGGGCTTCAAGAGAGATGGAGACAAACAATTTGTTGGCAGAGGTGGAGAGAAAACTGAGAATCTAAAGACACTCTGGCAAGAAAAAACTAGAAATAAAAGAAAATGCAGAGAAGGTAGGGCAAGAGGGAGACTGAGACTTCAGAGTAGATGGTGATTGCAAGATTCTATAACTCACAGCAATTTACTATAAATAAATATGTGTGTCCCTGTACCCAGGACACTTTTCAAAAATACCACATGTTCCTGTGGGCCTCAAAATGTTCCCTGCCTTTCATCTAGTTTTTATAGTATCTTGAGGAAAGGTGGAGCATAAAAATAAGCACTGCATTGCTCTGTATCTGTTAGGATCTAGGCTGCTCTCAGCCTCCTGATGAGTACCAGCTGGGAGCCCTGAAGGAACAGCTATATAAGAACAAACTCTTCCCTCCAGAACTTGACTGAGCAACACAGATCCTTCTTGGTAGCAGAGGTCCAGCTCTTGCATCTTGCCTGACCCTTGTCATGTATCCTGCTTTACTCTGTATTCTGTCAAGTTATCCTGTCTCGAGGTTCCTGTACCTCTGTCTTCCCGGTTCTTTACTCTTGGCTTTTTCATGATCATTTGTGGTTTGCCCTGATATGTACTTCTGATTCATGACCTGCTCTGTGACTATGACTTGGACTTGCTATTGGACTTTTGACTCTGTCTTGAGGTCTGCTGCTGTATCTGGTACCTCTGCCTTGTTTCCTGCCACCCATTCCCTGGACCATGAGTGTGTCACATACTTCTGAACAGTAGTCAGAACCTGTACTGCCAACTCCAGAAAGTCTATTTCTCTATCCTTTTGGACTTAATTACCAGAAGGTATATAAACTTATAAGCAACCCTGCCCCCAAAGACAAACCAAATTCCTGTGGAAAGCAGGATGCTTGAGAATGCTCAATTTTTTTAGTGCAGATAGTTGGAAGCTCGGAACGCTACTGGCTTTTCATTGTTCCTAGAATGCCTTCCTTCTACCCCCCCATAAAGTATAATTTGGGGAAATGGAAGACTGGAATCCTGATGATGATGATGGAGGAGTTTCTCCAGATTCTGTCTTTCCAGGCTCTTAAAAGATTAGAAGATTCTTAAAAAAAGCTCAGGCTTTCCCCAGTAATTTCCAAAACAGGCTTGGGAGTAGTGCTCTCGTTCTGAATTGAGATTAGTGGGTTTAATACAGCACAAATACATAATCTGAAATATACCACAAATATAACAGTGCAATGTAAAACAATGCCAATAGCAATGACATTTTCAGAGGGCTGTGCAAATGTCTGAGTAAATGGTGAAAAAGCAGGTGGGGGAAAAAGGAATACAGTAAAAGGAATCTTACTTGAGTTTTTCTGCTTTAAATTGCTGTGTGCAGTCATCAAACAGTTTTTGGTTCATCTCCATGAAGAGTTTCAGAGCATTATAAATCAAGCCATGTATTGTCCTTTAGAGAAAAAAACTGGGCTTGAGACTTCTCAAAACATGCATACAAACAGACATGCCTCTGGAAACCAGTCAATAGATACTTTCTTTAGCTAAAACATGACATATCCAATACTTATATGTTCTATAGCTATTACATCTCATCACTAATTAATTCTACCTGTTGCAATACTCTTCCTTTAAATATTATGCTAATATTCAGAATATGAATTCTGGTAAAAGTTCATGTTACTGCATTCCACACAGTCTTTGCAGAAGACATGCATATTCAGCAATATTAGATATTATTAACTTGTTTATTGCAACTGAAGTGAAAAGTACCTAGTTGTATTACTTTTGCAGGGGTAAGTCCTGTTGGCATATAACAATTGCAAATTGGGCTTTAAGTAACCCGCAACTTGCCAAGTCATGTGCATGCTGCTGTCTCTTTAAATATGTATCCTCTCTCTGGCCTGATTTGTGGTGCCTGAACCCAGACACTTTGAGTTGTTTGTGGGTTAAACAACTCAAAGTTAACCTAACAACTAATGACAGTTTAAAATTGGGTTTTTCACCTACAAACAATCCAAAGTTTCTGGGGTTTGAACATCACAAAACAGACTGCAATCAGGCTGACTGGTTGTTGCAACAGAGTGCATATGATGTGTGTACTGCCACCTGGCAAATCATGGGTTAATCAACCCACGATTTGCTCCCCTTAATCAAGTTACACTAAGCTAAAATGTCCTCTGAATACAACTATACAATTTCCACAAAGTAAATGCCTGCCAGATTACATTGTTTGGTAAAAGAAATGAAAAAGTTTGCTCAAGTAGGGAAATATCTATTTTAGCAGATGAGAAACTGATATTTAAAAATGGGAAGAAAAATGTCTTCACCTGAATTAGACAGCATTCATTGCCAAGGAAGTTAATTTACTCTGTAAAAGTAATCTATCACATGTTACATGTTCAGACCCAAAAGGTAAACTGTAATAGTCTTAACTGAATCATGCAAATTCAGTAAGTGAAAAAGTGTGCCATACTCTGTGCGCCATACTCTGTATTCATGCTTGGGACATAATGATTGATAGCCACAAGGGAAGATATGATTCATAATATGGTGCTTTTACATTCACAATATGCTGTTCTTAAATAAAGTAATCCATGTTACTTTAAAATCATTTTATCAATGGATTACTTGCACCCAGTGGCATAATTCAACCATTAATAATAGTGTTTACTTGGCATCTTCTTTCACTGTGCCAAAATACAGATATATCATGCATTTTTGGCCAGCCCATCAGTAGTCCTTAGTCCACAGGTAGCACCAGGCTATGTAACAGCCAATACATTCAGCATTCACACAGTAGCTCAAATAAAAACTTCTTTAGACATGGAATAGTTGCAGAACCATTGTGGTTAGGGTATTAGGTACATGCTAGAATTTTAAACTGTGTGGTTGTAAAATGATAAGAGATATAAATGTATATGGAAAATATACACACTGGAACAGGAATGTAGAAAGATGGAAAAGGAAAAAAGAAGAAGATATCTTAATATTGATAAAACCACTTTATTTTCAATAGGAGTTTATGGACCATAGTTTGGATTTAAGTCACCCAAGTTAATGCAGAGTCTGCTATTGGATTGTTATTATAAAATAACAGTAGAGAATACATGTGGTGGGAAATGTGTCAATACAGCTGGAAGCAGGCAGACTGGTATAATACATTTGCATTTTTTCACTTCCCCTCTGGTTGTATTCAGTTACTGTTTTTATTTTTTTGCTGATCAGTGAATATGGATTGTGAAAAAGTTTTTATGCCAGATTTCCCCATCCACCTCCCTCCAGATTTAGGGTAATTATGATCTAAAGAAAGCTCAAATCTTTGTTACGGAGAAGCAGAAAGTAGCCCACATCTACCACTGTATGTAGAATACATTTTGTGACTGCATATATGTGCTCCATCTAAATGATTGTTCTTGCAGGAGAAAGGTGGTAGATATTCCTGGGATGTAATGTACAAGTATACATACATAAGGATATAACACACTTACTGGGTTTGTACAATATGACACTGTGGGTTGCTACTGGCTTTTATGATCCTGATTTGATAACAAAGATCATTCCTGCCTTTGTTTTCTCTTCATAGCTTACCTTTCAACAGCTAGCAAGGCAAAGCAAAGGGCAACTTGCAATTAGCAGCCCCTTTGGTACAATGGGCAAGGTTGGTAAATGCTACACCTTGGCAATAGGTATTCCCCCAGACATGGGCCTAGCCAACTTCAAATTTCTATATTTATACAAGTGCACAAGAGTGTGCTCTAAGTGCAGCTAATTTTTTTTTTAATAAAATGAACCTACTTGCGAAAATTGCCCATGCAAAAAATATAAAATTTCTATGTATAATGGCTGAGCCTCCAAAGTTCTGCTTGGGCACTTTGAGGGGGCTGTGAGTGGTTCTCAAAATGAAGACTGTGAAGGCCAGCTGTCAAGCCAGCTTTCATCTTGACTGAAAAAAATCTTAATTTGGCAAAGGACCTGCAGTGAGCCAAAAACAGCTAGCGATTGTGCTGGGGAAGACAACGAAAAATTGGTCTTGTCATAGGTTCTCCTGGGATGGACCCATGGGAGGACCAAGAGGAAGGAAGTGAACAACCCATGGCTAGTCTGATCATCTCATGAGTACTCATGAGATGGGTTATTCACAGAACAATCAATCCACTGTGGCGTATTGCTAAGGAGGGCTGGTGTGATATGTGAATGTGCCCATCCCATTTACAGCTCATACATATTGGGGGCTCCTACTTGTAATGTCAATATGCCAGGTTGGGTTGCAAACCAAGCCTTTAGGAAAACTTGCCTGACTACTGTATAGAACAACACATTACATATGGAAGAATCTATCCATTTTTCTTCTCCTCATGTGACATTTATCTTCACTTAACCTGTTTTATGGAAAATTCTCTTACCACCAACATGCAAATGTGTGCATGTGCATATGCACACATGCACAAGAATTTCAAGTAAACTACACAAACTTTACCCTAATTTATACAGGTATAAGAAATTTTACAGCATGAGAAGGGTTAGACTTTAGGTCACCAAGGAATATACTTCAACAGCTCCTTACTTGTTCCAGTGAGTCTTTGAATTCCGGTACAAAGATGGAAACATGATGGGCAAAATCTTTGCTGCATTGTCACTGATTAAGCTCATAATATACTCATTATTCCAGTAGTATAGTGCTCGTTCTGCCACCTAAAAGACATGGGAACATTTTTTCTACTTAGTAACACACGCAAACAGTTGCATTTTCTTCTGGCCTTAAAGGAAAATAAGCAAAGTGTCCTGTTTCAGTGTTAATTGAGCTTTTCTCCCATAGCTCACCGGTTTCCCTGCATTCAACTTCTTTTCTTTTTAGGCTGACACCTGTGTGATTGTTGTCAGAGCTGCCACTAGGCATCTTCTGTTGCACAGAAGCAACATAGAAATATCTGTTTCTCTGGCAGAAAGGAAGCCATCACAGCTGCATCAGCTGAGTTTATTCCTTTGCTACCCACACATATCACATATTGAAACAGGGTGTATTTAAAAGTTAAGACAAATCCACCACAAATCCACTGTGCACAGTGTAAATGTCAAAGGGAACAACACGTCTACATGTTTGGAATGGCTAACCTGAAAGTGTGGACTGGAGACACACTTGGCTAGCTGCCTGAAAAGAGGTTCCATAACCTTTACAAATTCAGAGGGTTCAATAACATCTAAAATTTCTTCTAATTCATTTAAAAACATAACTTCTTTTGGACTGTGAGTCTTTGGCCAGTATTTGAGTAGTGCCATCACCACCTGTAAAAAAACAGAAACAAAACCAAAAAGATGAGAAATTATTTAATTTCTAGGTTATAAATTTGTCTTCTAGTGGTCTATCATGAATTGCTCACATTGACTGTTACTGTTATATGTCTTATAACATGTTGAAATAATACCTGATGTATTAAAAATAAAATGTGGCATTATAGTTTTAGGAAACTATTTTCTGATTTAAAAATGATTAGCATGTGCTTTGTATCATATTCAAAACTACTGAATGTGAGTTTGTATATAACACAGACATGCAGTGAATAAGATGGAGTAAGAGCATTTGTAACTCTGAAGAGGAGTCATTCCAAAAGAGCAACAACCTTCCAAGCATTGTTTATGCATGTTATAAATTGCTTAAACACACATTTTTCTGTGTATGTGTACACAATTTAGCCACTCTGTTTTAGGGAAATGTGTTGTAGTCTTGGAGTTCCTGGAGAGAATGTATTTTCTATTATGAGAGTCTAAACATTCAAATAATGAACATATTATTGAAAGTTTTCAGTTTGCTTGTTAAACAGGCAATCTTGCTATTGTTAAACAGGCAATCTTGCTATTGGCTTTGATTGCTGTGCTTAATGAAATATAAGGAACCATACACTTAAACTAATAGTTAATGTATCCATGTTGCTAAATAGGTAGGGTGTTGGGGGGTTTTTTTGAAGCACAGAGTTAAATATATTGCAAGACTTAACAGACTGGATGTTTTCCATGCTTGGAAGGTGCCTCTACCTGAATTCTGGGGGTCATTCCCTCACATTACAGCTCACTCCATTTGGCAGGGTCTCTTTGACCCTCTACAGAACTTTTGGGGGGCTGGAGGGCCTGCCATAGGAAGTCTGCAGGGAAGTCATTAGAAAGGTGGTTTCCCACACTCTCGACATTCAAAAAGAAACTGGACAGCCATCTGAGTGGGATGGTGTAACCTGGAGTCCTGTAACACCAGGGGGTTGGAACCAATGGCTTTCATGGCCCCTTCCAACTCTACTATTCTATGATTTTATGATTCTAGTTCAGTTGCACAAAGCTAAATCTGGAACCAAACCATGATCTTGTACAAGATTAGTAGGAAATATTCATATTTCAAATATTCATCATTTGTTATTTCCATTTCCAGTGATAGGTGGATATTTGCAAGTACTGTACTCTACGAGAGCTCAACTGCACTTGATCAATGGGGGCATACCAGCCACTAACTAGCCAAAAGGGAGCCTGTAGTAGTCAGCATGTTGGGTTGGGATCTTGGAGATCTGGGTTCTAGTCTCCACTTTGCCACAAAGATCATTAAGTGACTTTGGGCCAGTCAATTACCCTTAGCCTACCTTGTTTCACAGGGCTGTTTTTGTGAGGATAACATTGAGAAAATGGTGGCAAATAAATATAATTCATAAAAAGGGGATATATGAGAAGGTTGAAGGGAGGGATTTTTATATACGTAAGTTTTCCTCCTGCGTGAACTGAAGGCTCAAAAATTGACCACCTTAAAATGAAGGTGCTTTTAAGACACAATACGGGTGAGTTAGACTGCGCATGACATGTATATTGCATTCACAGTAGTTTCAACTAATTACAATATAAATTGTACACTTTGCCAACTTATTAGTTATTCCTGATAAGGTAGTTATGTAGATAAGGCCTACAATCAAATGTACTTTAAAAACTACTTTGTTCAATACTTTATAGTAATAAAAAAGAAGAAATAAAACTTACTGGCTCAGTAAGCGTGCTGTCCTTTTCTAAAAACTGAACTACACAGTATGCCAGCTAAATTGAAGAGAAAGAGTAATACTGTTATGCTAAAACATCTCAGTATTATAGAAGTAAAATATATTTTGCTGCTATTGAATTGTTTATACTGGATGGATGAAAGGACAGAAATTTCAAATATCACAAAATGCAAAATCCTGCAAGGCTTATGGTTTCAAATAAAGATAGGAAATCAACATAAAGTAAAGCAAAGCAGGCTAACCATGGATTGAGATTTTCAGTTTTCATCTTTAGCTAAGATGGCAACAGAATTTGTACATGTATAGTTGCCAATACCAACACTTCTTTCAGCTTTTGTGTGCTAGTTCAGCTCTCCTACGATGGCTCACATTAGAGCTGACTTCATCATAACATATAAAGTAAAGGTCTAAGTTAAAATATTAGAACATGGGTAGAATAATCTTATCAATATGGAGTTGGGGTTGGGGACAAGAGAGGACAGTCACTTCCTAAATCCTGCTTGGCTCACCTGCCAGCACATTAGTTGAAGGAGCTGGTCTTTTTTTCCTTTTTTGCTTGCTTGGTTGTACAAATTTCCTCCCATGGGTTTCAAGTGGAGGGACTATAATTATGTCAGCTCCAGGATTGGTGAACATTTCTCCCTGCCAGGTGTATGTGAATACCTTCTGCAGGATGTTTCTAAATGTTTTGGTGAAGCCAACATTTCATCCTATCCATGCCCGACACACCCCTTTTCATCTCTGATTACCAGGGCAGCAAAAAATGGAAGAACATTACTAATGCAGCTTTCTGCTACTGCAGCAGGTGGTTCTTTGGCAGTAGAGCTCCTTCCCTGCCTGCTAATCATCGCTGTTGGTAGAGAATGAAGCCAAACATATCCAACAAACTGCTCCCCAGAACCCTGATGCGGCAAGTGGTTTAACATAATACAGAGTACTAGCACTTATATTATTTAAACGCAGTTTAAAAAACTTTTCATTTGAGACTTTGTCAGTTTTATTGAGTTTTACAGAATACATTTTAACAGCGCTAATGAAGCTAGCTATTTTCACATTCCTCATTTTGCACAAAGATGGAAGGCTACTTACATATTTAAATTTTACAGTTAACTCTTATATACTAATAGTGTATATTAGTAGAAGGGTTAAAGGTTTAATCCATTGTTCAAGGGTGGATCCTATCCTATCAGACTCAAAATGGCATAATGCCAAGCAAGGCATGGGGGAGAAGGTGCATTTTCCAAGGCTGCCTTAGGAGGAGGCCCAGGAGAATCCAACCTGCTGCCTGCTATAGCAATTGTCTGTGAGGCAATTCACATAGCTGGTGGAGGTCAAGCAAGAGGGCCAGGAGAACATGGCTCATCTGTGCTGCTGTCAGGTTCAGCTGTGGAAAGCCTCTGACAGTTGCTCCCAAGGACTGTTCAGGCACCTGCTATCTTTATTCAGCTTCCTGCAGTGCTCCTGCAGAATACTTAACTACTGGAATACTAGGAGGAGAACTGAGGGGGAAGAGGTGCCTTAGGATCCACACCATAGCTGAACAACTGCTGGGTATATTGTGAGTTTGGGGAAAGCAAGCTGCACTGCATAGCTTTCTATGCAGTGTGGCTTCTTGTTTTGTGTGAATCCAGTCCTTATATGAAGTGACAGATGAGTCAGGAAAATTCATTATATGACTATAAAAAAATAAGCAGGGGAACTTAAGAATTCTTGTTCAGTCAGATGATGTCTTGCCCTGCCTATTGCAATGGAGAATAAATAATTTCTATCCTCACTTTTCCTATGAATGTTTATTGAGAGTGACCAACTACTCATAGATGAGAAAAAGTATGGGCTTGAAACCAGCTGGGTAACATTCTATTGTGTAGTTATCTGAACTTGGATCCATCCAACAAAGGCAGTTGTATATTCCCCAGTGTAATAACAACAATCTACGATGTTGCTCAAACAAGAATTGAGCTTCTCCAGATGATTTTCTGTGTCGTTGTAAGAGAAGACACACACCACCTTACTGCCTGGTAGATGGAAAAATACCCTGCCTATCATTAACTGTAGAATGAGGGAGAAGATGTACAAGAAAGAACCTACCAAGCAATCTTTCAATACAACTCAAAAAAGCACATTCAACTATTTATTAGCACTGTATCCTTGACATGATGTGCTTGAGGAAGCTTGCAATGATGTTCAAAATACTTCTCTTTAAAAATGAAAACCTTAACATATAGAATAAATAGAGTTGCAATATCCTCACACCCAATCAAAATCCAAAAGAAAATCTCAAAGTGACAGTAGCTACATCCAGCATATCCTTATGCTCACAAACACGTTTTACCAGGAAAAAGAGCAGGAGACACAGATGGGTGACCTCTCTCATGCAGTACATTCCATAGTGGCCATGACTGCAGCAGTCCTGCTCTATGCCTTTGTTGTTCTAATGAAGAAGTTATATAGTAGGCTTGGGAACCTAACAATATGATGGAATCCTCAATCCTCATGCAGGATGTCTGCATGGTGCCTACAGGAGCACCTGGGAAATCAACTAAGCTTTGCAATAGCAGCACTGCTCTAGCATGAAATGCAACTAAGTCATTCTAGCAGCCTGGACTGTCTTAAAACCAACCAGAGGTACAGCTAGATAATTTTAGACACTGGTCTTAATGGTCTTATGGAGTGAGCTCTTTAGACAGCCATGTGTATCACTTCAGTTGTGAAGTACACAATCATCATATTCCTCTTCACCCCTCCACATCACCCTTCTATGCCTAGAAGCACTTCTAGATGCTAGAACAAACATTCAATAAAAACGTGTTTGCCAACCCTGATTTAAAACCAGACAGCATCTGCAGTTTTGCATTTTAAACTCACTTGTATTATTTCACTCTCCTCAGTATCAGTAAAAGATAAACGTTGTTTCTGCTGCTCTAATGCTAAACACAGCTTTTATGGGATTATGCAGTATTTTACTGTAGAAAAGGACAGTACTGTAAAAACAAGCATCTCTAACCATATTGGGTAGGCTGACCTGGCTATGTTTTTTTTAAATATAGTGGTACTGAGGCAACCAGCATCAGCCCTAGTGGACCTGGTGTGCCCATATCATCTGAAGTGAATGCTCCTGAGTATTCCTCTCATTTGCCCCATCTGGATTATCAGCAGCTTTCCCCCAATTGTGAACATTGTTCCCAAGGGAGTAGTTCTATCTGCACCACTGAAACCAACCATGACATGTAGAACTTGATTTGAATCAGCACTGTATTTCCAGTATCAAAAATAGTATACCTATTATTAGACAAGAAGTCTTGTAAATCAGGATGAAATTTCTGTAATATCTGCTTTATTTTGCCTTTTTCTGATTATAGTTTATGGTTTTGTAGCTTATCAAACAAACTCTTAAAACATAATTTGCATATAGAATCATTTACCTGTGGATGGTAGACACTGAGTGATTTCACTTTGTGCAAAGGCAATAACACCTTGAGAAGAAAAATTTTGTGCTCTTCTTTTAATGGTAAGGCAAATCCATTAATTATACTGGAGGGAAAAAAAACAAGATTTAAACATCTGAAACAGTTTGGCACATTTTCAACTTCAACCTTTCTTTAAAAGTTCAAGTATAAATACTCACTTAAAATGAAAAGGAAAGACACAAACATTCTAATTAGAACTGAAATAAATTATACGAACTGGCAATCATTTCTTTCAAACCAAGGCTCTTGAAAACTCACTCCACTTTAATGCACAAGTACTATTATGAAGCATAAATTTTAAGAATTTTACCTTCCTAGTATTTCCAGTAATTCTGCTATGCCATTGTGATGTTCTGTTTCATAAATAAACCTGTAAAAGCAAAATCATTATCAGCAGTGAGGAAATACAATTACTTGTATTTATGAGATACTTTTAGTTCAAATTGACCAAAGGCACAGCTCATCTGCCATGTATTTAAAAATAAATAAATTTTTGTGTGTGTTCCCTTAGGGAACAATTCCATGACCCTTAGATAGTGTCTCAGGAGTTACAGTTCAGATTTTGAGGCTGGAGAGTGTGCTCTGCCCTAAAAAGCTGAGAATTCTTGACTCCACCCACTTCCCCCTTGCAGTGTTTGAGGAAAGAACTGGATTCCTCCCCCCCCCCCCGCCCCCCTGGTTGGGAAAACAACCTTCTAGAGAGGGATAAGAAAGCATTTGTGGGACAGGGAGCGGAAGACTGTGCAACCACTGTGCATCCTTCCCTTCCCCTCTCATGTGATCCAGCTAGAGGGCAAAAAAGCAGGGAGGGATAATGCATGACAGGAAAAAAGGGATGCAAACACAGCTTCTGCTACTCATCCTGTTTCTGCATAGGATGCTCATAAGCTCTGAGTTCAGAGGCTTACAGGCATCATGATATTCTTAGCTAGTATTTAGACTGATCACTGAGGGTGGTTACAGAAATACAGAAAGCACATGAAGAAATGAATTGCCCCTTCCTGGCTCTGCTAACATTGTTGGATCCTACTCATGGTTTCACATTTGATTATTGTCTAGTTCATATTCAGTCAAGTTAAGATACTGCAAATCTGCATTGCAACTTTCTTCCTCACTGAGTCAATACTTGCGATAGATGACAGGAAACTACAAGTACCATTATGTGTGATAGACTTAGACTTAGAAAAAGAAATGAATTCTATAAACCACTTAGAAGAACAGCTGGACTTTGAAAACTTCTCCAATCATAATGGAATTAGAGATGAAATGCAATTTATTAAGAGAATATAGGCTGCAATCCTGCATCAGCTTATAAGTATCCCCGGACTCAGAGGGATTTATTTTTGAGTAAATATTTATAAATTTGTATAATTCAAACAATGTTTGGAGTCCAGACTTCATTTAGTTACTGCCACATGGCAAGCTCTAGTATGTTTGGAGACTGAATTTAACAACTCTGCTTCCAATAAAACTGATAATAGGTTTACAAAACTTTTTAAATGTATATACTTCTCAAGTTCATTTTTGCTAGGCACCCAACATATGAAAAATAATACAAAATAAAAAAAATGCCCCCTTAAATAAAAATAAAAATCAAACAAAATTACTGAACACAAGGTAGTAGCACTTACCCCAACTTGCCAGTTAGGAAAAGTTCAGAATATCTGTTTTGTTTTAGTAGGTAGTTTGGCGCTAACAGAATATGTCTGATGTATCTGGTTGCACCATTCTTGGAAAAAATAACTGAGTTGCCACTTCCACTATACTTGTTTACTCTGAACTGACTCCCATTGGTTTCAAAAGGATTTACTCTCAAATAAGAGTGTGCAGGACTGCAGCCTTAGAGCCCAATCCTATGCTGGCTGGACAAAGGTTGGAGTAGCAGAGTCCTTCTGTATAAGCAATGTACCCTTAAAAGCTGAAACATGCCTGCCATTGTTTCAGTAACTCTCCAGCTACCAGAATATGATTCTTGTGGGGCTGTCTTTGAAGATGGGTCAGAGGCTTCAGCTTGTGCAGAATTCTGGAGTCCTTCTTTTAAAGAAAATGAGCTGCAAGTAGCACATTACCCTTGCTTCTTCTTCCCTGTGCTAGCTGCCAATATACTTCTATTTCTAATTTAAGGTACTGATTATTATTTTTCAGTATCTAGCACACCTTCCATAGTTTTTTCTCTTCAGATAAGAAGGTGGGGCCCTTCTTCATAATTCCTCAATTCACTAATAAAAGACTTATGTGTGTTTTGCTTTGTTTTTGCAGAGAGAAAAACAGAGAAGGTCTTTTTTGATATAAACGCTTACTCTTTGGAACACCATGCCAAGGAAATCTCCCAGGCTGGTTCTCAGCTTGGTTTTCATTATCTCGTAAAATCTTCCTTCTTGATGACTTTATGGATAATGTTACTTACCTGGCTTAAAACAGACAGTTCTTTTTAACAACCTGTATGTAGCTATGGAATGGTAGCACTAAATGTGTAGGTATTATTAGATGGTATTTTGATTTTAATGTTTAGCTTTTGAGTCTTCACAGTTCCTGTGCCCCCGACTCAAATACTTTCTTAGTATCTTAATAGCAAAGGCTAAAAACCATTTAGTTACAATAAAACCCAAAACTTCCATTTCTGCAGACAAAGGGACCTTTCCATGTTAAAGTATCAGAATTCCACTATATTTTAGCACTGCTCTGTCCAAACAAGGATACTCTGTCCAAACAATGACACTTCAGTCCAGTCTTTAAAAAGCCTTCCTATTCAATTCATATCCTTTTTTCCTATAAAACACTTGGCGTGAAGAAAAAAATGTAATTGAACATACTGGTGTTGACTGAGTATAGTAAAAAGCTACTGCATGCTTCCTTGCCATATACATACAATGTCTCAATTTCTCCCAACCTCCACACATCTATGTTACCATGAGTACAGAAAAATAAGATTCCTCTACAACTGGTGCCACCTTTTCTGAATGAACTGGCAAAAAAAATACAGCACATTTTGCCTAATATATTTAAAGGGGCACCGCCAGAGGTTCTCTTTTGGGATAACTGTACAAAGAAAAAATGTAGAAAAAATTGATAAAAGCAGGCATTCTATTATAGTTTTAATACAGTGGTACATTGGCTCACAAACTTAATCTGTTCCAGGACTCTGTCTGTGACCCAAATTGGTTGTGAGCCAAGTCAAATTTCCCCATAAGGTTCAATGTAAATAAGGTTAATCCATTCTGTAACTATTTCTTTTTAATCACAAAAATTTGAAGCAAAGTGAGAAAGAACAACAGAGCACAGTCATCTCCCCCCAACCCTGAGCACAAGCGCCGCCATCTCCCGCCGCAGCAGGACTGCAATCATGCCTGTCATCCCTGCACGAACGTGACCGCGATCATGGCTATAAACAGGCGTGATTGCGGGCATGCTGTGGGGGGGAGACGGGCACGATGGCGGGCGCAATCGAGGGGGGGGGGGAGACAGGCGGGATCACGATTGTCACCTGATGCAGAGTTTGCGACCTGAGGCAGAATTTTTCAGAAATTTCTGTTTGCGACCCAATTTGGTAGTGAACTGAGGCGTTCATGAGCTGAGGTACCACTGTATATCTTGAAGTAAGTGAGGGAGGGGGGAATAAAGCAAGCACATAGTTAAGAACCTTTGCATGTCATGTTCAAAGTCTGTGCCTGTACGAACACTTAAAAGTCAGTGCTATACGCTAATAAGAAATACACATCTCATTCCAAACCATTCTATCATAAGTTGTCTAAACCAGTGATTTTCAACCACTAGTCCATGGACTGGCACTGGTCTGTGGGAGATTTCCCACTGGTCCGTGGGTGGGGGGGGGCACATCCAGCTCGCTGCAGACCAGCGTGGGGAAGGTCTGTGCTCCACCACCTCTTCCTTGATTGCCACTGTGTTTGTGGGGAGGGGGCACCAGGGAGGGGAGAGACAGCTCAGGGGGAGCCGGCTGGGAGCCACACCATGCCAATTTCAGTACTTTGTTCCTTTGTTGGCATTTTTTGTTGCTTGGTTTCTGGTTGTTTTGGAGAATTTTCATTTTGTTAGCGTTTGGAAACTAATACACAGAATATTGTATTATGTGTATGGTGTTATTTTGTTTCTGCCTCAATCCCGAGTTGGGTTTCCTGTTTTCACCAGTCCCCAGCCATGGAAAGGTTGAAAACCACTGGTCTACACATTTCTGCTGTATGCAGGAAAAAATTTAACAATTTTATCAATCCATGTGCCAGAATATGGTTTACAGGACAGGGATAAGTGTTATAGTTAAATGTAGTAAACTGAACTCTGACTTAAAGGAAGCCATGGACCTTGATCTTCCTTTTGGAAATAAAAAATACATTAATGGTTATAGGAAAAAGGTGTCCAAAAGCACAATTTTGATGAAACCTAATTTTGTGTTCAGAACTTTTAATATGTTATCTTCTCCCTCTAGTTTGGTTTTACTAGAGAAGCCTGACTAAAATAATTCCAAAGCTTACATGTGACCTTAACAAAACCCTGTCAACCACCTTCAGCTTTGTAACATACGTTACAAAAACACATTACCCAGTTCATATGCATTAGCACACAATGAAGACATACCTATAAAATATATTGTTAATTTGCTTCCTGATATAGGCTCTTAGGCCTAAGAATTTCCCATATATTCTGTGCAGAGTAGTCTTAAGAAAATCTCTTTCACGAGGATCTTCGCTGTCAAAGAGCTCTAAAAGCTGCAAGAGATGCATATTTACTTGTTTAATCCATTTCAGATTAATCTGGATTTAAAGTTTGAAGGTATATTCAGTTTTTAACCTCACCTGCAATACAAACTTCTGATCAATATATTTCTTAGCTATATTAGGTTGGAAATCTGGAGATTCTAAAAACCTTAAGAAAAATTCATAAACAAGCTGAAAAAGATCCACAAAAAATAAAAATTAGTTTTGTAACAGAAATGCAAGCTTGAACTTTGAAAAGCTGTAAATACAGTACTCAAAACACCCCCCAAAGTACATTGGGATATTATGAACAGCATTAGCTGCTTCTTCTAAACTCTTATGCAGGTATAAACTGGACACAACTCTTCCTGCTTAAGTTCCTCTGAAACAAACGGATGTCGTGAGGCTCCCATTCATTCCAACAGAACTTGAGCAGAAGATGCTCCTAGTATTTTATGCAATTTATGTACAAATGCAGAAGGTTTCCTGTATCACTTCAGTTCCAAACATTCTAAATTCTTGGCTAGTGTAGACACATGAATCCAGTTTGCTTGAACACCACAGCTCATTCTGGCTTATTTAAGTCATGGTGGCTGCTGGAAGCCGCTGCAATTCGCCACTGTGATATTCAAGCCATGGTGGACAGTCACTATGGCTTACCATGACGTGAACCTAGCAAGGGTGGGTTGTTGGTGTAACTGACAAACCACCTACAAACTGGGCTATATTACATTTCAGATATCTTGATAAGTTATGATGTCCACTGTAAATAAGTCATGGTTTGGATGACCCTAACCCTCTCTCTTAATTTAGATGGGGAGATCAGGAACTGGATACCAAAATGCACACTTCCCCTTGAAGTTAATTTCTCCACCTCCCCTAACTATAGCTAATGTTAACCAGGTTCTCCACAAAACTAGGATTTATTTCCAATATAGGTTAAAAGAAAACTTAGGGTTAATCATTGTAAAGGTTGGAGTTGATAATCACTGCATATACAGTTTAAGGGGAGAATCTGCAGGTAGGATTTGGGATGAGACACACAATGAACAACTTCAGTCCTGATCTTTTGATCATGGTTAATAGATTAGGGCAGCTATAATTGCACTGCTCCCATTTGATACTACAATAATACAGCATGCCTTGACAGGCCACCTACAGTCAACAAGCCTTAGACTTGTTCATGATCCAACACTATATTACCTTAGTTAAACCAGCTCAGTGTTGCATGTAGCCTGCCATATATTTAACTCTTCTGCTTATACACCAGCAAGCATCAGGAGCTTTCCTATCTTTAAAGAGGTCTCAAAACTATAATCTACTGAGATCAAAAAGACCAGCAATTGATATAAACTCATTTCTATTGTTAACACATTAAGCTACATCTATAACAGAACACCACCATTACTATGCATTGACATTTAAACTTGCAAACCGAAGACTTAGATAGGCCCTTTATCAGATATTTAAAAACCCAAACTAAGTATATGTTGAGACTTAAGTTTTCTATTGTTAAGTTTGCAATAATTTAGTCAACTCTTTGTTTAGTCAGAAACAAATTGAAGAAATTAAGTTTGCAGTACCTGTAAGTGAGGCCAGGCAGCTTCTAAGGTTGGTTCATCCTCCTCTGGGTCAAATTCTGCTCCCGTTGGGTTGGATGAAGGTGGTAGTGTGCGAAACATATTAACTGCAAACTAAAATTATATTTGTCTAAGTGCAGGTCTAAAACCCTCTGCATATTAAAAAATATCTATTGGCACAATTTTTTTCGAAGTCATGTAAGCACAAACACTGAGTAAAATTGCTTTTAAGAATTTTTTCCTCCACATCTCAGTTTATTCCTCTTTTAACACCCTCCCACCATATTTTCTTTACAGTAAACCTTGCAAACAGTATATGAAGAAACCAATGCAGTTTGGTTGTCATTAGAACACATGTTCCTCTAAAGTGCAATGGCTGAGCATATGGGACAGGATGCCCATGCATGTTCTTCTCCATAAGGGCAACAAAGTTATGAGAGTTCTCAACTGCGATCCAATTTACCCCTCTCTGCTAGTTTTGAGCTGGTGCTTTTATCTTCAGGCTGTGGAATATTATGTTTTTTGTGTTTATTTTGCAAACAGGTACCTTTCTTCCCTGAATTATTTGTATAAAGTATCAAGGGAATGGCAGGTTTGGTGGTAATCACTAGTAATGAGTTTGGCTAGTAAGATATGCCAAACTGTGCTAAGCACTGATTTTACTACACATTGGTGAAGAATTCTACCAAAAATAAAAGTAGAACTTGAAGGAATAAGTCAGTAATGCTGGATAGAAATCACATATTTAATAATGACGTTGAGAGCAGGGCATTATTATACTGCCGGCTGTAGACCAGCACAGGGGCTAGCTGCACCCTCCCCCCATGTTCTCCATCTCGTCCTCAGTTGGCATTGTGTTCATGAGAGGTATGTCACGCTGCCAAGGAGGCTGGGGAGGGAAGAGAGAGCTCAACAGTAGCCAGCAGGGAGCTGTGCTGTGCCTCAACTGCCCCCTGGGCCAGGCCCAAAAGACCAGGCCTTTTTCTCATAGACACCACCAGAAGGGCAAATGCCAAAGGGCACCACCCCTTTGCACCCCATTTGGGCTACCCTTCTGTGTCATGGTGTAGGGGAGATGTTGAAGCTGTACTGACCAGCCAATTTTTGCTGGTGGATATGGGAGTTTGAACAGGGGAGATATAATTGTATTTCAATATTTATATTATATATTATATTATTGTATTAAGTAACTTTCATTTTGTATTGCTCTGTTGCTAATATTGTATTTGAACTTGTATTTGCTTTGTTTATATTATTGTATTTATATGAATTTTATATTTTTGTCATTGTAAACTTTTGATTTTAATATTTTGTATCTTGTCTTATTGTAAGCTGTGCAGAGAGCCCTATGGGCTATGGTGTGGCATACAAATATAATCAATTCAATCAATTACATGTTAGTTATGAACTACAAGCCTGATAATACACAATACTTAAAAAGTTATGTAGCTCATTAGACACAAGTATGAAGGAAACCTTTCAAATAACACTGAGGACTTTGATAGCTTTTTAGAGAGTACTAAAAATCAAAAGTTGTTTTAAAATGTTTCAGTTTAAATAACTTACCATATGTACTACTTCTGGATATATGGGCTCAGTAATCACATTTCGATTATGTGTGATGTACTCTACCATTTCACTTAAAGCTGCTCGTTTTACTTCCTTCCACTTTAGGTCACTTAGTGGATCAGAAACGAAGTCAAAAAGGACACAACATTGTCGCAATTTTTGAATAAAAAGTTTTTCTTGCTCTGCAGGGGGAACATCTGAAAGGAGAAAAAACATTCTGTTATTGTTATAACACTGTATTTCTGTAAAAGCTGTAGTAGAAAACTATGACAAGCTTCCAGGAAGAAGGTTTTGTGCCACAACTCATGCATAATCTATTTTCCCTGACTGTGTATCCATATACACATGAACTTTGTTTCTCAGTAAGATTTAATGAAAGATATGGGAGTGTATCTGAAATGTATCAACTTGCATAGTGGATATATAGATAACACAGATAATTTAAGGACATGTGGTGGTTCACTTCCATATGACCTAGAATTTTTAAATTTAGTACACATGTCTCAATATACCCCAGTGACTTTTTTAAAAAAAAAAAGGTGAAATTGGATGTTTTACATATAACACTAAACACAGGACATGAACTTTACCTCAGAGAGGACAGCATCCCAGCACAGCATCCCCAGACACATACGGAACAGAATGTTAATCTATGGAGTTCTGTTTCATTTCCACATGCTTAAATTGTTTTAAATCTCACATACTGCACAATATACTTGGAATGGAGTTATTATAGAAAAGCCTGATTGCCTTATGTATCCATGTATTTGTAGTTTGCATTATGTTAAGAAAGGCAGAAAGAGTTAGATACCTGAGAGCCACAGTTTCTTGTAGTGTATGTATCCAGTATTATTTAAATTACAGGGAATTACTTCCATGCGAACTCTAGATACATGTATATGCCTACCCAACTAGCCCAACTAGTCAATCTTCAAAGGTATCTTTCAGGTGGCCAGTAGAGAGCCTTCATGGAAAATATGGCCCAATGTTCAATCATTCTCATGCCAAGATAAATCACCACATGGCCATCCTTTGAGATAATCTTTTGTTCTAGATACCTCTGCCTTTCCCCAAGATATTGTGCTTAAATCAATCAAGTAGCCAGGAATTTCCTTGAGGTTCATTTTCATTCCCAAGTTAAATTACTGACCCCTTTGTTCTATCCATCCTGTGTCCAATTTGAAGCTATTGATCCTTTTATACTCTTTCCTTTGAAAAGAGCAACTGCCCTTAAGTGCAGGTTTTCAGCACTGTTTCAGTGCGGGAATCAGTATGGACAGACTACCAGATCCACAAAATTTTTAGGTTTTACTTAGCTCTGAAACACTTTCCTCCTAATATTTCTCCTAGTGACTGGGTCCAGTTTCCAGGACCGGTGTTTGCTTCTTCTGTTCTACTTGAACCATATTTGTTGCCCAGTTAAAGAACTTCACAAGCTGCTGAAACAGTCATTGTAGCTCTTAATCCATATCCCATAACATTCCACAACCACGACTTTACATAAAATTGTGGGCCGAATACTTGGCTCCTGAGGGAGGTCTGTGTCTCACAGGCTGGTGTGTTGTTCACTATGAGTCTCTGAGTCTAGTGGCTTGTTTATTTGATGAACAAGTAGGGAGTCTTGGGCATCACACTGAGATCATCCTAGGATCAACATGCTTAATATATTTAAATGTATTAATACTATAAAATTAAGCTTAAGTATCAAGCATACCAGAAATTCTTTTGTTCCATTTCTACTCTGCTTCCAGCAATGCATTATTAATAATCTCAGTCTCTGTTTATTTGCTTAGTAGAATACTAGAAGACTTAGTTCTTACTGAGCAACTAGGTGTCTGCAATTTGTTCCTTACATCTACATAAAGTACGATAATGAGAGAGACTTTATCTCTCATCAATGAAAGCTGAAAATTAAGAGAATGCAAAATACTCTTGAACAACCAAGGTGAGCTTTTCTGAGACTTTCTAAATATTACCATACCTTTGTATCACTGGAATCTACATTGAAAAATATAAACACTAAGAATTTCTATGCTCAACTCAACAATTCCTTTAGTCCTAGACAGCTCCTCTCCAGTTTGTTTACCTGCTCATGCTCGCACCACTTAATTGTAACTTCCTACAACTTACAATTAAATCACCAAATAAAGAAGCTGAACTACCTCAAAATAGCTCATTGTACTTCAGTTTCTACAGTTAATGAAATAGTGTAAAAGTCTTTTACACCTTAAAACAGCAATAGGCAGACTTCAGGCTAGTAGGATCCACCATATTTTTTACTAGAACCCCACAGTTCTACCAACTAGAGTCAAATGCCCAGGGAAGAGACACATTCTTGGAATTAAAGAACACTATGTTTTCCAGAAATCTTTTTTCAACACCAGAACTAAGCACATAAGACACTTAAGAACTAAAATCTATACCTAGTTTACCTTCAAACTATCTTAATTTCAGCAGTTTAATTTAATTTTATTTAATAAGCCTTTCAGTTGCTGCCATTGTTAAAAAGAATCACAAACTCTTACTATTCAACTGTTAATCACCCAAGGATGATCCCTAACTAAATTCTGCTCTACATTAGAAAATGTCTTGTTTGATCAGACTGAGTTTCATCTAGCCCTGCATTTTGCCTTGAACAGTGAACAGGTAGTGGTCTCGGAGCTCATAAGCAGAGCACGATTTAAAACAAAATATTTATGACATTTCTAAATAGCTACTGTTCTTTGGGCATGTGTTCTCAGGATAGATGTTCTTTTTGTCCCCAACATTTTTCATTCTGAATATGAAGGAGGATCTATTTAACTATCATAGTTAATAGTCAATGGTAATAACTATGGGTTAGATCATGGATTGTTTACAGCATATGAAGGATTCCTTCCACAGAAGGCTCTTGATTTGGCGAAACATTTTTATTATTGGAATGGAGGGCAAAGATATTTTTCCAGTTTTAGTGAATTGGCTTTTTTGCCTGTTTAGCAATAATACTTCAGACAGGGAAGCAAATTAGGACAACTCGTATCTTACCAATCCAATCTCCTTCCCTCCTTCTAGAACACCTCCTTTCCCCCTTCTCCAAGGTTGATTTTCCAACCTTAGAGGGCAATTGATGCAGTTTTCTTCCTATCAGCTCTGCCAGATTGGATAAGGAGTGAGAGTTGGATCCTCCAACTTCCCCTTCTGAAATTGAAGAGCTTTCCCGATCTAGAAGGGGAGAATCCCCACTGTGGTATGGCCTCTCAGACAATGTGTAGAGGCCATATGATTACAACTGACACATACTTAAGTCTTTGTTTCAGTTAGGGATGAAGATTTACTGGAGTTTAGCAAAGGGCTTCATAAAAAGTAGGGATTGACATGAAGAAAAAAGCACAGAGAAAGAGAAGTTGATTAGGAGTGACAAATATATAGTCCAACAAGCTGCAGAAGTTTCTCCAGAGTTCCACAGTTGTAGGTTTTTTAATTTCCTAATGCTTAAAAAATCCTTCTGAGCAATTAATTACTTTAAAGAAAGTTTTTTTTCAATGAAGTTTGTAGAAAATCTATATGTAATTGAACTTGTATCCTTCTCAATCCTCCAAACTCAAGACAGGTAACCATACACTCTAATCTCTAGAGATATCTTCACACATTTTAAAGGGAAAGTTTTGAGGTGTCAGCATTTTTTCAAAAGCATGAAAAGCAAGAATTCCTTAACTGATAACTCTCATTTAATCATGGACACATGACTGAAAGTCCTCAAGAATTTAAGGTATTTGTACAGCCTATTTTCACATAAAATACAGGGGAATTACCAGGGTAATCAGCTACAGACTATACTATTAAGGAAGTAAACATCCCAAGTTATTTAAAAGATTTAATCCTGAACAAAATAAACTATAGGTCCTGCTAAGATTTTATATACCTAATAATGCTAAGATACATCTTCAAAATAAATTAAAGCTTCAAGTTAACATAGAATCATAGCCAAGCAAGCACACAGCACAAAGTGAAATTCAATTATAGCTTTCCTCAGTGTTACTAGGAGACCATTGATAGCAAAGAGGTTGGTAACTACAAAGAAGGTGTTAAATGACAGCCATTTACGAACAAAACACCATTCTTAAGACAACTGACAGGATAGTTTCAACCAGTTCGGAGACCCCTAAAATATAAAAAATTTCAACCTAAAATATAAAAGACACACTACTATCCAACTCATAACATCAAATTATTTATAAGAAATTACTAACTTTGAATTTCTTCAAATTATAAACTAGTGGCTTTGCCACATTTATATAGTTACTTGTTATGCAAATTATATTCCTATAAACACATTTTCCTTGTTTAGTGGAATCCAATGGAAGATCAACTTTCACATGCAAAATATAAAATTTGATCTCCAGATTATCTCCAGATTTGATCTCCAGATTTCAAGTCTACAGATTATGACAATTCCAGATAGCAAATTATAAGCATAATGTATGCACTCAAAGTTAAAAGTTGCCCATTTGTTTGGGTCTGTCATATGCAAATATAATTTATGTTGGTCCCAAACCAATTAGAATGTTCCATAGCATATAGTATGTACTTATGTAATACTGATTACACAGTTTAGCAAAATTTATTACAAACACCATTCCATATAGTCTCCTTCTCCTTAAGATACTGATTGTCTGAAAATAAGCAAGTTTATGAAGGTACTGACTGTTAGTCACGAAGTCGTGTCTGACCCATCGCGACCCCATGGACAACATTCCTCCAGGTCTTCCTGTCCTCCACCATCCCCCAGAGTCCACTTAAGCTCACGCCAACAGCTTTAGTGACTCCACCCAGCCACCTCATTCTCTGCCGTCCCCTTCTTCTTTTGCCATCTATTGTTCCCAGCATTAGGCTCTTCTCCAAGGAGTCCTTCCTTCTCATTAGGTGGCCAAAGTATTTGAGTTTCATCTTCAGTATCTGGCCTTCTAAAGAGCAGTCAGGGTTGATCACCTCTAGGACTGACTGGTTTGATCATCTTGCGGTCCAAGGGACTCGCAGTAGTCTCCTCCAGCACCACAATTCAAAGGCCTCAGCCTTCCTTATGGTCCAACTTTCACATTGCAACTGGGAAAACCATAGCCTTGACTATATGCACTTTTGTTGGCAGGGTGATGTCTTTGCTTTTTAGTATGCTGTCTAGATTTGCCATAGCTTTCCTCCCCAGGAGCAAGCGTCTTTT